TCTCAGACTGCTCTATTCTAGGGGTGAGATCTAATAGACTGGCGAGCTTGCTCATAGATTGATTGACACTAGTATTTACCAGTTTCAGGATATCATCAAACTTTGGCTCGATACCCTCATCCTCCAGACGGGAGCTTATCTTCACCCACTTCCTTTGCAGTCGAGTAGGTAGGCGTCTTGCTATTACTTCTAGTATAAAACTCGAGTTGAGGTCACTCATGCAATTCATCGAAATCATTCCATTCTTGTAAATTAGCAAATTATCTAAAAACTCAGTGAGTGCCTGAGAGTCATCCCGTAATTGACCACCATTACCCTTAACAGCCCCGAATAATTTCCCTACAATCATCGAAGGTCTTCCAAACATTTGACGTAATATGCTCAGAGCCTCGTAGTAGCCCTCTTTTGGCTTCATAAACTTACAGCACTGTATAGCTCTTGAAGCATCTCCAGTGCAATACCTCATCAAATACATCAATTTCAATTCATCACTTAATAGAAAACTACTCAGCATGATCTCAAACTCCTTTACAAATTGTAAATAATCAGCCGGGTTTCCATCGAAACACCGTGGTTCAAATTTAGGGAGTTTGATGTTCCTATTATCCCTGGATGGCGAAACAGTAACATCAACCATGTCATCCTTAACATCAGACACATCGTTACAATTAACAGACAAGTCACAATGACTTACTTTCCTGTTTGCATCCAAGACACTCTGTCCCTTCTTTGACCCAGGCATTGTTGAACTTGACCCAATTCCAAAAACGTTCCAGATATTGCTTGTTCAAAGAGGACTTGACCGGCACCAGGAAAATGAACGGTGACTATCCAAAATTTCACCAACTGTTTCAATCCGCCAGATCTGTTTCTATCGTCAGAAACTGTCAGCCAAGTTTCATAAATCGTTAATGCCCAGCTCTCGCTACGCTCGGGCTCACGCTGTTCTTAGAAGATTTCTTAGAAACGCTTAGTAATAATGGACGCAAAAACCAAAACATCGATTGTCCATCTATGGTGTGATAAGCCAGACTCGATACTTAGTATAAACCTGCGCCGAAGTCAGCGTCCTTTCTCTACAGCAGCAGATCGACAGAAGGAATCTACCTTCAATTTACAGTCTGCAAATGGTAAACGAATCGCAACCGTTGGTAGAAAATACGTCTATCTGAACGTAGGTTTACGCAAACCTATTCGATGGATTTTCCTTCTCGCTGACGTTACAATGCCTTTCATTGGCACGCACCTACTTAATCATCATGATTTACTCGTAGACGTCCGCCGAAAACGACTGATTCACAGTACTACTAGTTTGTCCCTCAGAGGCATTACCTACATAGGCCCAGTTTGCCACCCGCTAAGATAAAGGCAATTCTCGATCCAACTTTTCAATCTATGGTTGACAAGTATCCGGAACTTAATTGCCCGTCGAACTACCTACAGTGCATAACCAGCAATGTTATGCACCACATCATTACCACAGGACAACCTGTGACATCTAAAGCACGACGATTAGCTCCTGACAAACTGAGAATCGCCAGGAATGAATTTGACCATATGCTTACCCTTGGCATCATTCGACCTTCGAATAGCCCATGGGCATCCCCACTTTATATGGTTCCGAAAAAGGATAGCAATGATTGGCGACCCACCGGTGATTACCGGAGAGTGAATGCCAAAACAACCCCTGATTGCTACCCGTTGCCTCATATACACGACTTGACGGCAACATTATCAGGCGCGACTATATTCTCCAAAATCGACTTGGTTAAAGCGTATAACCAAATTCCGATGGCAACAGAAGATATCCCGGAAACGGCTATCATTACGCCTTTCGGAGTTTTTGAATTTCTACGTATGCCATTCGGTCTCCGGAATGCAGCCCAAACATTCCAACGCTTCATTGACGAAGTATTTCGCGGTCTCGACTTTGTATACGCATACTTAGACGACTGCCTCATTGCCAGTCCAGACAAGGAAACTCACCTTAGGCACTTGCACCTGGCATTTGAAAGGTTACGCCAACATGGTGTTACCATTAATATTCAAAAATGTCAAATCGGTGTTGACTCACTCGACTTTCTGGGTCACACTATTGACTGCAAGGGCATTCGCCCACTGGATACTAAGGTCGAGGCTATACTGAAGCCGGCTTACTTGGAGGGTAATCCTATTAGCATAGAGCTCAACGTACCCCATAATCCACAAGTAACAGAAGATCGTTTAGACATCGATGAAGTCACTAGCACAGCGACAGCTACCGAACCTTCTATCGAGCCTCCCAAGAAAACCCGTTCTGGACGTACCGTAAGGTTCCCAGAATATCTTCATACTTATTTAACGTAACGAAGTCGTGTGATTCACGCAACTCATTCGTTTGTGGTACTATTTTTTTCAACGTATCAATTTTTTTATATGCAGTATCACTGAACACAAGTAAATTTTTTCCAACAGTTCATTTAACATGCACAAAAAAATTATTAATTAGATGTATTTTTTTCGATGTTCTGAACTTAGAATTATTTTACTGTGTAGTAAATGCACATCAATTTTTTTAAAACGAAAAAAGCTGATTTGGTACATTTTCCTCGACATGGTTCTTAGCATTCTTGTTTTCTTTTCCAGGTGCGACGGGCACTGGACAGGAAACAAACGAAGCACGGGATCCAACGAACAACAACAAGGAAGCTATGTACAAACATCCTATTAGCATAGGCAGACAAACCAGTAGACATGCCACTAAGCCGCTCGGAAGATTTTTTTCACCCGATAGGGAACCATCGAGATTTTTTTACTTCCGGCTGGTTCTGTCTTAGGGTCCTCACCACCTCACTAGAGGGGAGTGAGCTGTAGCGGTAAATAATTCCCCAAAATTATTGACCACAGCAATCACTCATCATTGAATGCTGACCACCACTGTTTAAGTCGACTTGTTTAGCTGAAGGCTTCCGGTCAAGCATCCCCGCCATTTGGTACCCCGTAGTGTCACGTGCACGATCACCAGCTAGCTAAGCGTTCGTCTGACGGCTTGTTTTGGTCCCGAAATATATCACGAAGTTTGGACGATCAATTATTGGCTTTTGCTTTGTTTTCGGTACGCGAGAATAATTTAGAGGCTGTGTAAGAGAATTCCGTCAACCCTCTAAACAGTCAACAACTACATACTAAAAGGACTAGATACTAAGACATTTCATGTTTGCGTTACCAAAGGTGTATTGATCCACAAGGTCAGGCTTCCGTTATTTCAGCCTAACATTTCAGAATCTTTGACTACGTGAGCGCCGGTCAGACTGCCTTATTGGGTGAGAGGCAGTAAGGGGTTCAACGTACACATATAATAATGAGCTAAGCATAATATATTATGTCACTACTACGACATGGAGAAACTCGAGCTGAATTCCATGGGCCTGACATTATTAGCGCAATCCTTATCACTACATTATTTTCTCATGGTTCGCATTGAAGCACACTAGGAAGGAGGACTTGGTTGTGGAAAGCAAATGGGCGCGTGATTTATACTCAGAGTCCTGGTGTTTTCAATGAGGAGGATTAGCTTGTTCATCTGCGCAATTATGAGTTCGCATCTAACCTACGCTTCTTTATGCTCAGTCATGTTTTGTTTTTAAATAAGTATGGTTTCCATTCTTGAAGAAAATACTTAACAACGTAGCACGTTATCCGAAAAATTTCTTTTTGCTTTTTTCTAAGAGAAAATGGATACTTGGCATTTCCCATTTTCAATACTTGTCCTGTTTGGGGAAAAGAATAACGGTGTACCACATGACACTGAGTAAACTTATGTATTCATTTTTGTTTAATTCCTTCCATAGTTCTTCTAAAAAATGTAAGAGTTTCAAGTTGGGCCCACCTAACTTTCTCTCCACGTCAGCATCTGTGCTTCCCACTTCCGCTTGTGAGAGTCTTTCCGTTGTTACGTAGGGAAGATCTTTGTCAGATAGGTTGGTGTCAATCTGTTAACACTAACTCTGTCGCCTCCGTATGTAATGAAATGCTTCGATTTCCATATCACCACCGTGAAAGTTTCCTCGAAAGACAGGTAGCGTGTTTCATCATATATCAGGAATCCACGTCACTGAGTACTTACACCGCCCTCCATTGTATCCATGAAGAAATCCGCCTTAAGTTAATCATTTATTGTCATATTTTGGATATATGTGGCCCGCTCAAATTTGTTCTTATAAGTGTTATAAGTGACAAACTTTCCAGGCAGTCACAGTGTGGTTTTGAATATGGTTCCTTCAGCTGAACGCTGAGTATCAGTTCCGACCGATGTTCAAATAGTTAAGCATCTCCATTGGTAGGAATTCTATTTGGTGACTAGACCTGGAAAGGGATGTCGATTCAGCCTTCAGCTGTCAATGAAAGCATACAATAACCCCATCAGCCTGCGGTTGGTATGCCATGTAGCGGATTCCAGAACTTCTGACACGTTTCTGAGAAGCTCTAACGCGTACTGAGATCATCTATCATTTGCTGTTTTTAGAAGCGATTGAAACATGGCTATTCGATGTTGAAGGAATGCCAGTGCTATAATACAAGTAACTGATGAACCTATCGGTGCATGTGAATAGGTAAGTGAATCCAGTTGAGTGTGACAATAGACCTATCAAGCCTACATCAACATGGGTAAACTGAGCATCTGCTGGTGAGAATGCCCCTAAAGGTAACCTTGTGTCTGTTTACATTCGCCATCTGATATGGCATGCAGCTAGCTTCTTGAGAAAATTGAAAGACTGTGCAGAGCCTGACTGTCTTCACACAGCCACTGAAATGCAACTTGGTTCTGAAGGACTGTTTTCACTCACAATTATGCATTTGACTTCTCTCCCTTTATATTTGTGCCTTATTGTCATCATTTTTCTTTCCATATCTTACACATGTATTATTGGAATTTTTCTTTCCATATCTTACAAATGTATTATTGGAATTTTTCTTGTATTCATCTCGTTTCATTCACTGTACTTTTGATGATTTGTTTCGTAATATCTGCAAGATATTGAATTTCGACTGTTTTGTTTTTTAGCACTACCCAAATTACTAGCTATAAAAAGCCTTGATTTCGTGACTTTTTGAAATCACAACACAATGTCAGATTATTGCATCTCGGTATGCGGATTTTATGCTATCATTTTCCCAAGCTAAGTGACGACTTTAAAGGTTATCCTGTGGACAAATTTTGTATTTCTTCCCGTTATGATGGGTGCATGGATTATGTCCTTATACCGAATGGTATGGTTAAAGACAGGTATATAATGTCGAAAGTTTAATTGTTTTTAAGGCTGGAAAAAATGGCGATGGACATTGTGAATTTTTATGAAGCATCAAGCGCAAAATCGATCACACTTATGTGTGTCCTTAAAGGTGGATTTAAATTTCTTGCCGATCTTGTTGATGGACTGGAAAGAACTGTCCGTGCAAGAGGCATTGTCATGCCCATGACTGTTGAGTTTATTCGTATTAAAAGTTATGTCGTACGTTTTCAGAATTCGTTAAAGTTTTTACTCTTTGAAATATATTAGAATGATGCCAGCACCTACGAGCCGATAATAACGGGTTTGGAAAATCCTTCAGAATACAAAGATAAGGTATTTGTTCATTCATCTCGAATTGCCTCTGTAGGATATTCTTGTTGTTGAGGACATTGTGGACACCGGCAGAACAATGAAAAAGCTTATGAGTCATTTACAGAGTTTTTCAACGAGGAGTGTTAAAGTTGCCACGTATGTGACTTTTATTTAGTGAAGTTTTTATATATGTATTACCATACACGTTATTCTGTCGATCTCTATTGGCCATATGTCTGTATGATGAGTGGTTCAGCATATCAATGAATATAATTATCACGTTCATATTAACACTAAAAGTGTGGGAATGTTTATTAGAGTGGTTCTCCACGGAGGTTCCACATATTCAAACTATCCAGCTGCTACACTTGCAATTTAGGAGTGTAAATTGAAATCGGCGTTTTTGGTAGGTCCACTAGTGGAATACCTGGTGTTGAAACAATTCTATTCTTAGATTTATAAGTAGTTCCCAAACAATTCTGCGAATGCAGTATGCCAATCATTTATGGTCGTTTTTTGCGTAAATCTTTTTATAAGATGTTTGCGAATTAATTGAAGGATAAAGATTATCTCAGTGTTCTAAGTTCGTATATCTATGTAGTCATCTAGGGTCAATATGTTTGCCATGTGTATATTTCTTTTTTTTAATCTTGCCATCATGGAAATGCTGAAAACACCTCTGGAGTAGATGGGTGTTGGTGGTGTTGTAGATACTATCTTTATGTTGCACCATTACGTATAGGTTGCCGAAATGGTACTTATTCAGTCATCAGTTATTGTTTGTAAATATGCTGTACTCTGCACGAATAAAGTGGGAAGAGTCTACGCCGTCGTCCACTTCATGTGTATACCGTTAGAAGTAGTTTGACAGTTTATCTAGAAAGTTATAAGACAGCACATAAAAGTATGGTGGAAACGTTCACTCTTCACTGTAAACTAGAACTGAATATGTTAACCTGAGTCACTTATAAAATCGTGATGTCAGTGCGACTACCGACATCCACTCCCTAATTCTGTAGAGAATGTGCGACTAAGTTGTATTTTTTTTCACTATCACCATAAATGTCCTCACATAACTTGGTGGTACCATAGATAAATCTAGGGTCTGATGGCGTGTGTTCAAACTGTAAAAAAACTACAATTCAGCTTGTTGTGCTAATATAAAACAGCAGCTTAAATAATTTGCATTAATGTTACAAACGTCTCCTCTGCCGTTTATGAATAGCGAACCCTGAGATTACTCAAAGGAGCAAAGATGCATTTGTCCCACAATGTGACACCGTAAAATCAAAAAAAGTTATCAATGCATCGTCGCTTTCTGGTGTCAGGCTCAAGAGACCGCGCCACTTAGAATAAAAGTCACTAGAAAAATACTATTAAGTTGTTTATTGTATCATTACTAGTAATATAATGTAACAATAAACAGAAGTGTATTTAACAAGATCGCCAAAAAGTTCATTATATTATTATCTAGTTAATTTTTCTCTCACAATCTTATTGTGTTGTTTTGCGTGGTACATTTCGTAGTGTCGCATGGTGCGCCAAGTATGTACTCATACTTCTTGGATTTGGATTATCTAAGAAAGTCCTAAGTGACTTATATTAGACGAGCTTTCGTTCACATTATTATTCTTTGCTTGAAAAATCTGATCTATTACTTCCCTCATTTTTTTAGCCTGCTTGTTAAGCGTAAACCAGATGGTATCACCTATCGACCGGATTGTAAGTTCACAACTGCAACTGTATATCATATCTTTTTTAAATATAATTATTTCTAACAGTTTGGAAAAAATTGGGCACTGAGTATATGGTATTCATTATAATAAAGGTTTTTGTATTTCCCAATAAATGAAAAACAAAACGATATTGTTTTTACTGATGTTTCGCTATTATTATTAAAAAATAATAGTTTGATGAAGCTATTAGTATTAAATAGCGAAACATCAGTAAAAACAATATCGTTTTGTTTTTCATTTATTGGGAAATACAAAAACCTTTATTATAATGAATATAATTATTTTATTCCCCTTTCTCTCTAGTTCACTTAATTCCATGTACAACTGCTCAGGTTAAGTTATTACACAGTGGAAATAGTTATAATTGAACAAAAATAAATTCTAAGGGACTCGTATCTTTAAAACGAAACGAGGTCTCCGTCTGTTCAAATCCTGCAAGAGAAATTCCTACTAACTTTAGGCGATTAGTTTACTTCTATCGTCATTAAGTTTGTAAGACATTGTTTAGGATTTCTAAAAACCCAATTTTATGTATATATATGTGGAAGATATTCAAAGGCAAACCTTTGCTTGAGTTGTTTATAAATGACAAGGCAATCTTCATTCTCTCTCAGTCTTCAGCTGCATCATCGGCCTTTAATTACCCATTATTTGTAAACTTTCTAATGCTTTAAAGTGATGGTGTAGAATTTTACATACTTATTTCACTTTTCTGTTTCACTTAACTTTCAGTTGCAGGATTTGAAGTTCCCAACCGATTTGTTGTTGGCTATGCTTTCGATTATAATGAACATTTCCGGGATATACAGGTAATCTGAATAATTTCCGAAGAGATATTTTTCAGCTTTATGAATTTATCTTGGTTGGGAAATTTTCTATCTGAGTTCAAGGGTAAAACAGTGAAGCCTTAACTGATTGGTCTTACATGTGTAGTTGCCTACCGCTAGATTTTTCAACATTGCTATATCTACCAAGATTTGGGTGGTAAAATGTTAACATTGTCTCTCACGCATGGCGTACTTGATGAACATACACATCGTAATGAATTTACCGTGATCATATTACTATGTTTCGGATGGGTCAATAATGAGTTGGATGCACACTGACGCGAGAGGGGTGATATTTCTATAAAAAAACAACTAGAAACTACTATATTTCAAGTCTGTATTTACGTAGACTATGTCTGCACTTTCTAGATGTCAGTTGTAGAGTATATTTAAGTTATTAAGAATATCTGATCAGTCTTCAGATCATTTACATTCGTATGGATGCGTTTTATCATCATTGCTCTACTTTTAAATCGTTGAGTTTGTAGAGATTTTATCGACATCAAAGTAAATTTCTCATTAGTTGATATCATTTACATAAACTGAAAATCAAACGTCAATTAGGAAAAATATTGGGACAAATTGATATTAGTTAATAATGCTTTAATTGATAAATAATCTTCATTGTGAAACCCAGTTCCAGTCATCATATGTTATTTTCTTCATCATCGATCGACTCTGTTTTAAATTACCTTATCTCTAAATCGTAGTCACTTATGCAATTCACTTCACAAGTTAGTATTTACATTGCTGCTTCACTGAAGACTGTTATTTTTCACTCCTTTGCGTTTCGAATGGAACTTAGTGCTTCAAGCTTGAGCTTTGTTTCCTTAGCACTAGTGTTTTTACGATGGTGAGACTACTAACCCCTCGCCCAACTTTTTTCTTTTTACCAGGCCTACTACAGGCCATACGGCGTTTAGAAATACATCATTCAGCGCTCAAACCCGAATTATGTGAGTGGTTTGGGAGTATTCTACTGAAGAATTTATTCTTTTTCTTTTCTTACAAAATCTCCTTGATATCCAGGAAATACAAATATGATATGATCTGTAGAGTGGTCGAGGGAAATTATTCTAACGCTTGTTTGTTGCAGGATCTTTTCAGTTTTTCAGAGGAAATTGTTTCCTTCCCTCATCTTTGTCTTCATTGGGTGAGTGGATTTGTTTTCAGCTACTTTACAGAAGAGAATATAAGACGCGCCTACTCGTTTTTTGATTGAACAGTTACTAATGATCAGCGTGCTTGTTGTCATTATAAGCAATAACATTAATATAACAGTAGCTATAATATGAGATTTTTGATAGTAATTGATTTATTTTTCTACCACGAAAACTAATTTTCGTTGTCTTTTTTGCTAATATAATCTAGCATATTTGTGTGATCAACGAGAAAGGTCAACAGAAATTCTCTTTACCTTCCGTACCAAATGCTCTGTAAAGTTTAACATTAGGGTATCAAAGAATGGAATTTCAATGAAGTCACCAAAAATACTTCTTTGAGTTTCTTCTCTGAATCTATATACACTCACATGAATACGCGCCAAATTTGTTATTTGTACCACAGTTTTCTATACATCCGTAGTCCATTTTTAAAAATTCCAATGTATCATTCATAAATTTGTATTGTATTCATTCAACTTCACTATGCGCACGTATCCATTTCTATAATTTTGTAAACCCGTAGTCATATTCATTATTTGGCGAATAAAGAATTTTGATAGTACTCAATTTATATGTAGATTTTCAGTCAAATAAAATAAATTAGAGATTAAATCCTTCATGTGTGTTTTATTATTTCGTGTAAGCATAACAGGGGGTAGTACATAGTTGGTCTTATTATTGATGTGCTCAGGATACGGTTAACTGAAGTCTAGTAAGAATATGGCTAGTTGACTGAAGCAGTCGGTTTTCAGCCAGTATGTCACGAGTCCGACTCCTACTCCACCTACTTTAGCTTAGGCGACTGGATGGTATCATCAGCTCTTACGCGATGAGTGTGACTCTTAGCCTGATTCATGACAAATCTATTCCGGGTATTTGAACTTAACATTAAATGGCTGTTTCTTAGACACACCGTTTAAGTAGTTGTGATGAATTATATGTGCTCTGGGTGTCAAACTTGACAATTCCTTTACCGTTCAGATGAAATTTTAATTATTGTTTACTCCTTGCATTTCGAGTAGAATATAGGGCAAAACATTTTCTTTGCACCTGATTCTATTCCATCACTTTCACATGTCTGCACGACTGCCCACAATTTTTCAATTCTTCCTTCATTTCACCTTCAGAAGACCAATCAGTCGCTTCCCACTGCGGCTTCATTTGAGCACATCTCCGTTCCTTCCAGTATATTTGTTTGGCAAAAGATTCTTAGCGGTTTCTTGATCCTAGAAGAGACTCGTTCCTAATATATGAGCGCCTTTTCAGGGATAACAAAACTCAATTAACTCCCTCTTTTTAAGGTATAAACTTGTTGATTGTACAAAGAAGCTGTGAATATACTGTTGAGTTCCGGCTTCTTCACAAAGTTTATTTTTTGTTTACATACGTGTGGAAATTATAATGCAGCAACTTAGCGTTCCGAGGAATCCTACCAGGTAGTCTTCACCTCCCAACGTGGCTCAAACCAATAATCCAGTCAGAAATCTGAAAATCTGACAACTGTGTTTTAGCGATAGTATGTAGTCTAAGTATGCTTGCCTGGTTCAACGTTTATTTGTGAAGTGTTTGTAGTGGATTCGTTAACATTCAAGTTATCTTAAATCAGTTCTACAGAGTAACTAAGCCTACTCATAAATCCTGTGATTAACTACGCTTGTTACCACACCGAAAGTGCGTCGGTGGCACAGTGGTTAGGACTCTCGCCGACCATGCAAATGGTTCGGGGTTCGATCCCCTGCCGACGCACACCTGATATCTATGATTGGCCTGCAAAAATTTGGGCTACCGATATCACATGCTGAAAATTCCATACCTGTATCAAAAATACGATGTGGAGTCAAGCTGTAATCAAAAGAAAAAACGAAGATTGTATTTATCAGCAATGCAAAAGGAATGCATAGTCTGTAAGAGAGTTTAAAAAGAATGTTCTCTGGGTCTAGGGACTTCAAGAGTATTTGAGTTGAATATTCTGTTAATTATCAGCGTTAAAATTGACAATTGCTTTTTTTTATCTTTCTGTTGCAAAGAGTAGTAGTGTGTTTGAGTAGCCAAGGTTTGGCGTGCCTTTCAGAAAAGAGTTACACGTGGCCAAGTCGAGACATAACGTCATTCCATGAAGTCTTCGACTGTTGGTTTGAGCCACGTATGTTGCTCAGATTGCCGAGCAAATGAGTAGATATGGTATAGAAGAGCTTGGAATCTGTGAGAGTTGATGAGATGGAAATTGAATCCAACATGGTAACTGAGAGGCAATAATCTACTCCAGTTACCCAGACTGACAACCACGAATGGACTAAGGGGTGGTTATCATGATGTCACAAAAAGCATCAAAGGCTCTTATGTATTCTGAACTAATCTCCTCTAGGATAGTGGCAGTCCAACAAATAAGTATAGAAAAATAAGGGTCGATCGGACGCACACTGAGAAAGCTGCTGAGTGACATTACCTGCCAGGACTTCAACTAGAAGCCGAATGAAAAATGACATGCAAGGATAACATGACACAATCGCATGGACAACCATGGAGTCAGCTAAAGAGGACTCCAGAGAACGTAATGAAATGATGAGGTGCTCCTGAAGCTCTACGTTCCACTAAGAACTCATGCGAATAACAGTTTATAAAGAGAGTAATGAAGATGTTCACATGGACCAAACCACCCAAATAATAATAACAGAGTAACTAAATAATGCAAAGAGAGTGAAAACTATGAAGGTATGCTACCGTAACAGATTTCGATTGACTGTTGTCTCCTTTTGTACCATTGTTCCAGCTTCTTCAACAGAATGATGAAAACTTCAGCAAACCTAATCACTCTCTTGTTGCATTCTGTCGCTTATTGATTACTGTGAAGCTTTTATTCATCATGATAATGGTCAGAAAATCACGGTTGATTGAGCTCCTTTGAATGTCATCGTTAGTACTAGACACTAATTTAGAACACTGTTCAGAAAGTTACAGATATTTTCCCATCAGCTCAATGTATATGCTTATTGTTGAAATTTTCCCCCATTTATGGTTATGATATCAACTTTGTTTTATTCTATCTTCGCATAAATATCACCATAACTGCATCACAGTTTCTTCAAGCTTTTTAAGTGATTCTTAGTGTAACATTTATCGATGAATTTTTAGATTAATTTTGATCAGCAGACACCAAAATGTTTCAGTTATAATTTAAAGAATGCCATTAGGTCACTAGCTCAGTACAAAAAGACAAAGAAAAAACTATGAATACAAATGTCAAAAGTAATTAAAAAAATAATTTGACAAGTATCGAACAAACATTTCATGAAATGTTGACAATTGTTATTTCAGAGAAGAAAGTTCTCATTTTGGACGATTTCATCGTCAAGAGTTTGTTTACAAGGATTTGATTGGTTACATGTTTGACCACGGATAAATGAAAACCTGCTGGGGTATTTGAAAGTTGTTTCGTCCCAGCTTGGAACTCATCGATAGTATGCACCCACCGGGTTTAGAACCCAGGACTTTCAGGTTACAAGGCTATCTCGCAGATTATTCAGTCACTCGGACCTGACTCAGTGGGCCATGGATTCCAGCTTATACCAATTGCTGATTTTAGCACGACCACCAGCCAATGCCATCGGCGAGTATTTTTCCTCGCTCCCGACCGGCTGGACCTCATTGTTCATGGCTTCATTTCATTTTCACAGCTGTTATTATTATTGTTTCCTTTAGTTCATAAGGCTTCAGACGCACGTCTCCAGTGCGTTCGGTTCACTGCCAACGTTTTCACCTGGCTCCACGTCCGCTCACATGGTTACATCTCCTCTCCACATGACCTCCTCCATGTCACCCTCGAAATGACGACCAACTCACCACTTTCCATTCGAGCAATGGCCTATCATGTGATGTTACTTGATGGTTTTCTCAGAGTATGGCCAATCCACCTCCATTTCTTCCTGCATATTTGTTGCACAATTGGTTACTGGTTTGTCCGCTCCTAGAGATCCCTGATGGTGATCTTTTCTGGCCATCTGATCTTGAGTATTGAGCGAAAACAGCTCTTGATGAAGGTCTGTAGTTTGTTCGAAGTACCCTTCGTGACACGCCAAGTCTCTAATCCGTGTAGTGAGTAGCACTGACTTCACATTGGAGTTGAAAATCTACATCTTATTTGTCATGCTGAGTGCTGTACAAACGTGTATATATTGCAACAGAAAATAACAATCGGTTTTCTTGTGCGTGTGTGTGTTAATATTGATTTATATGATTATAAGTCACAAATTCTCTAGATATATACATGAATAAATAAACAAAGGTCATTAGACATGAGTGAAATAGACGCTAGGACGATAAAGTACATTCGGATATGTGAATATAATATTGATGTAGGTATAAGATAAATAGTAGTAGACTAAATAAAATGTTAGAATATAATAACATAAACTGAAATAAAATGAAATTAAAATGGAGTGTGGAATAAGGAAGGATAACAAGGTTCCCGTGTGAATTACACAGTGAAATCAAGACCGTAGTCAGGTTTTACATTGTGTATTGCCAAAGCCTCCGCGATACAAAGCAAATGCACTCGTGTACCTTTCCACAGACTTTGTAGACTATTGTTACACGATGTATCAGATGGTGTCTGGTTAGTATCTAACCACGTGTTGCAATTTATACATACTTTTACTTTCAGTCAAGCTGGGAGGTGCTCTCGAACGCGATCTCTTTCATTATAACTGATTAAAAATGCCCATTAAAATTTTCAAAAGAATGGATACTGAACAAAGAGTACTCTTTTCGATAAATTCATCATCAGGCTCTACATTTATACATACATTATAGTGAATGAAAGAGTTAGTGTTATGACCGACATTAATGTTTAAATAACATCAAATCAATAATATTGATAGATTACAGCTGAATCGCATCAACATAAAATAAGCTGAATGTCAGAAGAATTAGTAAGGATAATATTACAAATTCGTGAGTTTACAGTTTCTACTGAAGGCCAGGGCAATAGTAGGGGTTGGACTTGCTTCTTTTGAATACAGAGCGCTGGTTGTTTGAGGCGAATCGCAATAGCCTCTGCTGTTTGGAGCATGCGGTGCTTCGATGATTTTGGCAACCGGTATATTATAGAGAAGGATTCTTCTACACTGGCTTTGTGGCCGGTTTGCACAGATGTTCCAATATCGAACTGTTAATGCTTTTCACTACACCTTTACTTAGCCATGCTGGGAGATGTTCTCGAGCACGAAAAATCAAGTTCCTAGAGCAACGGCCAATATAACTGGCTCCACAAGCGCAGTTGAATTGATAGATACAATTTGAAGTGGTTAGTCTAGGTACTTCATCTTTCAGTCGAGGAATCACCATCAGCCATCATCATGATCGTGACTTTAAGGTTGTTATGCTTTTCGTCATTACTATGGATCATTTCGCTTCAATAAACAATTCTGTTAACAAATACACTGTATTCTACAGCTGTGAATTCTTTAGTTAATAATAAGACACCAAAGAAAACTCCATATGGAATTAAATTACCGTGTCTGGTAAATTATTATTATAAACGGTAGAAAACGTTATGGTGTATAATTAAAATCTTGAACAAAACATTTTTCGATAATGAAGTATTAGAACTACGCAACCT